CGCCTCCCCCCACCCACCCGCCGGATAGGCGGTTACTGGCCAATCAGAGAGGAGAACGCCTGTGGTGCGATCTGGTGGCCGAACACAGCACTCTCGCCACTTTGAAAACTCTTTTCGTGCCGTTCAACTCGATTAAATTATTTTTAAAGCAATTTGTGTGATCTTCACACGATTCTTGTTTAATGAATTCATAGCCAAGCTGACAGAATCGGAAAAATAGGGAAATTAACGAGAGCTGACCAATTCCGACCCAATGAGTTGGGAACGTACCCCGTTCAGTTACTAGCCGAGTCACTTCCTCATCCGCCTCTCACCACGTCGTTCTTTTCTTTACGCGTTGCCCGCTGTGTCCAGTGGAAGGTGTGTGTCTGTCGTGGAAAGGAGACGGGGATTAATCGGAGTCTCCCGTTCAATCATCTAGTTTTAATTTTCAGTGCTTCGAACTTACACGTTCCTTCATTCGTTTCAGGTCCAACGGCCAGGACAAAACACATAATATCACAATGGTTGCCCAAAAGAAGCAGGTAAGCATGCGGCGTCCGCCATGTGTGAACACCGACATTTTAATTTCTTTATCCGAGTGTTCTAGTTTCGGTCTGTTTTCTTATAGTGTAATATCTCAAGTTTCCTGCATTCAAATTTTATTGGTCCTATGTGGGAAATTTAATGGATTAGTTTAATGTAGATTCTTCATCGCTTAACCTCTGAATTCTAACCTCTATTGGCATCCCATGCTGTCCACTCCATGCCTGTTCTATTGTTTAGTAGTTCTGGGCTAACCCAATCATTTTTCTGATACTCAGCTCCTTATGCCTCTATGCTCGAAGTTGTATACTAAAATATATTTATCCATTGTATCTCATACGTCATGTACTTTCATGATTGCAGAAAAAGGCTCTAGAGAGCATCAACAGCCGATTGGCTTTGGTGATGAAGAGTGGAAAATACGTGTTGGGACTGAACCAAACCCTCAAGTCCCTCCGCCAGGGCAAGGCTAAGCTGGTCATCATTGCCAACAACACCCCTCCACTAAGGTGAGGCTGAGAAGTAGGATCCTTTTAGAATCTTCAGTACTAATCATGGATGGCCCTTGATAATTAGTACTCTTGGAGAACATTTTCTGTTCAGTTCCTTAATTTGTAAGAGCTTCAGAGCTCTCGCTATCCACTGATTGGTATGAGAGGCTTCTTGAAAATAGGGATTCCTATGGAGTAGTCTCGTGCCAGCAACATTCTACATGGTGCATAGAATTCTTTCATGCTCCGTGTACTCTGTTGACATGGTTTACATACCTCGTGTGGTATCTACTGGTATCATGTCGTAAGTATTGAGAAAATGGTGGTAATTCTAGAATTGAGTGTGAAGTCACAATTTTCTAGCCTATTGTTAGTGAAAGCGTAACTGTAGCAAGTGTTGGGTTGATTTCTATATTAGGACCTACTCAGTTAATGGGAATGTTATCCCCCCTCGAACTTTTTGTCATGACAGGCAAATTCATTGCTCTTCATTAGATTTGTTTATCTGTAGATTGAGCAATTGAGCTGTTTTCTGTTAGACTGCCTCTTAAGCATGTAACTCACTAATAGGAATCTTAATTATGCCTCCAGGAAATCTGAAATTGAGTACTACGCTATGCTTGCCAAGACTGGAGTCCACCACTACTCTGGCAACAACATCGAGCTTGGTACCGCTTGCGGAAAGTACTTCAGAGTTTGCACCCTGTCCATCACCGACCCTGGTGACAGTGACATCATTAGAACTATGCCTTCAGGAGATTTGGTGCAGTAATTTTAAGGCCTGAATGTATTTTGTACATTTGACCGGCTGAACATTTGTTAATTTGTTTTATAAATAAAGGAATGTGCAGTGGGTCAAACCATTTCTTTCTATTTTACTGAAGCCTGGAAATCTTAGTTTCTGTTCTTGAAGTAATACATTAGTGGAACTTGACAGTGCATGATTGGCAGAATTCACAACATAAGATTGCTTTGTATCAATTTTGAATATACTACACCCATTAAAACCCATCAATGCCGAAGCAAATTACAGCATTATCTAAAGTAGCTTTTCACCCATTTCAGACTGTTCTATTGAAAGTTTATCGCCTATGAATTCTTTACATTAATGCAACTAAAGATGGTGTCAGTTAATTACTTCACTAGTCTGAAAATGCTCTTCTACTGGCAGCCACTCTGTAGGCATGATGCCATGGCAAACTTATGCCTACTAAAATTTGTGCCACATGTGTTTAGTGAGTCTTGCCAAAGAATAGCACAGTAACTGGCTGTAACATGTGATGGAGATAGGGACAACAGTACTGTTCTCTTGTCAGTACAACTAGAATAAAATTCAGACCGAAACGATAGGTAAAGGCTGCAAAACTTCACTGTATTTAGAACATTCTACTGACTTACAAATTAAATGTAACTTGTACACATTAGGTCTTAAGAAAATAACATGAAGATATTGTTCAGATGGCTTGAAAATGAAGTGAATGAATGGATGTCAAGCTTGATATGCTGATGAGATTCGTAATGGGCAGCCTCCTAAAAGTTCTGTCAAAAACATAGAAACACCACAAAAATACATTTAAAGAATATCACCAACTCCCAATAAAACTAAATAACAAACGATAAGAGAGACCTTAATCACAGTTAAATTTGATTCAATGTTCTGGCACCTCCAGCCAGCAGCAATCACTCTACCATACCTTTGCAAGTTGAGCATCTGATTGGTATAAGGTACACTATCAAATACCAAAGTCAAAATTGGCAACAAATAACAGAAGGAGAAAAAGAAACAACTTGAGCAACATTTTGATTGGACTTTTGATTTTT